GATGGACCATCTGGATGCTTCTCTCTATGTTCTTATGAGCTTTTTCAAATTCTTAGTCTTGGTTTCTTTTTGTTTTCTTTTGCTTATAGTCACGGGACGCAGGAAGTGGAATTTTTTAGCTTTGGAACACTATTGCTATTGTGTTTCTGAACAATCTTATGTGCTAACAATGTGTCTGGAAAAAGTAACATCTATTAATGGAGATGGCTACATTACCCAACTAAAACTTGAGAATTCAGTTGGTCCCAACTAAAGGGTTGGAAACCAAAATAATTTTCAGATGAACGAATTAGTCAAATCTTCTCTTTCCTTTTTTTTTTAAATGTTTAAAGATGAACGAATTAGTCACTTTTTGAGTTGAAATTGCTTTCCAAAGGCTCTTGCGAAAAGGAGACAGATTGTTTTTTGAGTCCCTAATCATTCTGGTCCACATCGATGCTCTTAATCACCTTGTACCGCAAGGATTTAGGTTTCAAAAAGAATGCCATAACTATTTAACCACCAGGGACATCTTTTGGCAAGTAAACCTCCCAATGCCAAAACCCTTATCACTGGTAGACAAACCACACACCTCCCAGTTGAGTAGTAAAATTCCTTATAACCCTCTTGATGCTCTCTACTACACATCCAGGAGCTTTGAGTAAAAGAAGATAGTAAATGGGAATGCTAGAGTGACAAATTTGGATAAGAGTGACTTTACATACAAGGGAGAAAGGAGCTCCCTTCAACGATGAAGACATCTAGAGAACATAGGCATCATACGATCCCATGAAGAAATAGCCTCTTAGGTTTACTCCTAGGTGCGTCACACCCTGCTGGCTCTACCAACCCTCCAACCTTCTGCCCATCATTATTGATACTCACAAGACTGCTCTTCCTAAGGTTAACATGCAAACCCAAGATAACCTCAAACCAATGCAGGATGGGGATGTCATCACCAAATTTAACATGATTATGGGAGAGGAAGAGGATCGTGTCATCCTCTTCCTTGTCAACAACTAATTGCAAATTCATGTGGTCTTCTGAATTAAACTTATCAATCATAAAATTTGAAGTATTTTGCTGAATTAAACTTATCATTAATATCCTTGGAGTTCATGTGAAACCGCCTTTCACCATTTATTGGGCAATCAAAGATCAGTGATAAAATTTGGTTACATTGTGATTACTTCCAGTTATGACTCCATCTATTTCAACATTTAATTTTCAAAATCAAACATCAACTTTGAATCAATTTAGTGAATTTTCAATTAGATTTAACTGTATTTAGTTTAATCATAAACAAAATTAAAGTGAAAGTAGCTCATTGAAATGGGTGCCAGGCTAATCACTTTGTGATCTTCCATTTACAACAAAGATGAAGTAATACTTTTGTTCTGCTTAAGGTAGAATGTGGGTTGCTTTACTTATTTTTAGCTTCTAAGGAGATCCCTCAGGCTCGCCGACATCCGTTCTTTTCATTTTCTTTCTTCCAGGTGCTGGATTGTCCCTTGCTGCCGGAGCTGTTTTCGGATGGACGTTTGGACATGAAATTGCAAATCACTGGCTGCAGCTTTACAGGTTGGATACAATGGCTGCACAGGTCAAATTCATGGAATGGTGGGAAAGAAAGTGTGAGAGTAGGTCTTAAATTTGGTGGTTTTCTGTAATTTTTTCAGAAAATAATGAAGCTTCCAATTCTTCAACCATGGAAGCCAATGATCGAACAGGGGTTTTTTCCATTTCATGTGTCAAGTAAGTGGGATTTTGTTATTGCTGTGTTGGAATATGTTTTCCTGCGTTCTCTGTCAGTATTGACCAAAGTTTGATGCTCCTGTTAATGTTTACACTTGGTATGGCTTTTGTTGGTGCTTGTGATCTGAGCCTAAGAAATGTGCTTCAAAATGGTAATTTTAAGATGGAAAGTATTATAGTATTTGACAAAATTTATTATACAAAATATTTTTATATAGAATATGGTATTATATTTAATTAATTATGTCAGAAAATTATCAATAAATGTTAAAATAATAAAAAAACTTATTTAATAAAATTATTTTAAAAAATTATTCAAATGATTTAGATTTTTAAAAAATATATATTTTTAATTAATAAGATAAATATTATTTGAAAACTATTATCATTAAATTTTAAAACAATTTATAAGTAATTTATAATAAATAAAAATTGACAGTAAATTAATATTACACTTATTATTTTTAAATATAAATAGTTAACATAAAGTTAATAAATATACTTACACAGCTTGTTGCTGTTAAATTAATTTTTGATTTTGTATTTATTAAAAATTAAAAAGTAATTTTTTTCCCCACAAATAAAATAATAAATATTGGTAATAGAATGACAGAAAATAATTGTTAAAACAATTGAAATGATTAGCAGCAAAATGATTTTTGTTTTAAAATAAATTAATTTTTTTCTCTCATTAATTTAAAATATTATTTATTTAAATTTCATAGGTTCTGAGTAGAGAATTGATTATTATTTTTTTTTAAATTCTAAATTAATTTAATTTTTATCTCTTAATATTCTTCAAAATATTACACTCAGTAAATAACATATCCATGCAAGAGGCAAAATATACCACACATCATTTAACCACAAAAATATGAACTGCCGTTCCAAACAGTTTATGAAAAATGGTTTAATGCAACAGACACGCATCACACATGATGTCTTCCCTCATTATTCTCCTGAATAGTTTTATAAATCAATCACACTTTTTTATTCTAAGTTTTAATATGTTATAACTACTTTCTTTCGCACAGAATGTATGTACACGTATATAAGATATAGGGACTTCACCAATAAAAATATAACTCAATCAAGCTACCCACCCAAATACATAGTGCATCTGCAATTAACAAATGAAAAATGTAATCAAAGATTTGGGACCTAACACTGTCAGGAGCAGCAGCACAAACACATACAGGCAAATGCATCCGATGGAACTGCATTTGCTTAAATTACTAAATGGGCTTCAGCTGCCAGCTTCAACCCTTAAGTCATCATATCATGTACAGATATATTTATATTCTCCTGTGAGCTACAATCCTCTAAAAAGTTCGGTTTAAAAGGAATCTTCTTCCCATGTATGCTTCGTTGCAATCACACACAAACATCTAAAAGAGCAGGCCAGCAGCAACCATACAGAATTCAATAGATATTATATAAGTTTAAACTATCTTTTTTAAAAGAAACATGTAAGCTTAGATTTTACGTTTAAACTGATTTACAATCATCTACTGTTTCTGCAATATCCATATCGAAAGTGCCTCCCCCTTTCCAGCTTGCTTTATTTTTGAATCGGATCTCAATTACCAATCACTTTTTCAACGAGCGAAAATATTATCCACCGCATCTGATGTCTGAAAAAGAAACATTCCAACTTGTTGTTAGCGGTGGGTTAACATGAAGATGCAACTTTAAATGGTAAGACATATATCACTGACATAGTAACAAGACTCAAACATGAAAGGAAGTTTATGAGTTTATGAAGATTCTTTTTATTTCAAAAAAAAAAAGTTTGAGTTTATGAGGTCAATGATCCATGTGGCTTTCTCAATCCTCTCTGACAACCCTATCCCATATCTTCTTGCTGTGTAATCTAAAGAGCTAGCAACCCTTTAGATTACATAATGGAGTTACAAACTGAAAAAAGTAACGCATGGAGATGACACAATATGTCAGCAGAATCACCTATACTGAAAAAAACATGGAAATACTACTCTGTAGCAGGTACAGCAGGTCAAGCCAATACACATTATTGATCTCATATCCCAAATAGAGATGAGATCAAACAAGAACCTGAAAGGGTCGTATTACTAGACTCATAAGTAGCTGAAAGAAATTAGGATGCAGTTAGATGGGGTTTTTCTGCAGTGAAAAAGATAGAAAGTGACTGATGCTCTATGAGCCACTTTATGGCTGTTATGAACATTCGGTAGTTGGGTAAGTGATTGAAGCTCTATGAGCCACTTTATGACTGTTATGAAGATTTGGTAGTGGTAAGAAACAAGGAATCCTAAAAAGAATGAAGTCAGTGTTGAGAATTTTCTTATAGAAATTGATTGATGCTCTCTTATTTTGTTTATGAGTGGCACCTCCTTCGTGCCTTATTAATATATTTTCCTTCGTCCATAAAAAGAGTCGTAAGATACACCAAGAGAGAGAGAGAGAGAGGAATCTGAAGGATCTTTCCAGGGAAAGTACTACAATTTATTATAAAATTTTTTGAAGAACATCAAGAAAACTGCAGCACAGCCCTTTCTGTCAAGAATGAGTAGAGGTTCAAAGGATATTTTCAAATAAAATACCATGACTTATACCAAAACTTCTGAAGAACATCAAGAAAAGAACAACGGTCCTATATTGTGCGGTAATGTTCGAGTCTTCTTATCACAGCAGGGAAAGCACAGACAGGCATGGACAGCATGTCAATTGAGATTTACGCTAATCCTAAGTTGTATGGTATATGGTCTCTGTAGAATTATTTTTCTATATTTTTTCTTTTTCTGTCTTTTACAACCTGACAATATAACAAAATGGTTACTGTCAGGTTGTGCTATTTTTCCCTTCCACTAGAGAAATTTGTTAGTTTTTATCTTTTTCTTCATTCCTTTGCCTATAAAATGTTGCTGATTATCGATGAATAAAAGAAAAAAAAGAGAAGTTATTTTTTATTCTCAAGTTCTTCATGGTATCAGAGCAAGCCTGATCCAAATTCTTCAGCATCCCTCTTGCATTCAATAGGCAATGGATGAGCAGACCACTTTTCCGCTCAAAGTTCTTTTGGGTTCTCACCTTCCGGTGCCTGACCGTCATGCTCTGGCTAATCAGGCTCCATCTTTCATTACTGGCCATCGACTAAATGGCAGTAACTATCTTCAGTGGTCGTCCTCGGTGTTGATGTTCATCCGAGGAAAAGGCCGAGATGAATATTTCACTAGAGAGCTCTCACCTCCTCCCACGAATGATCCAAATGCTCGGATATGGAAAGTTGAGAACAATCTTGTTATGCCTTGATTGGTGAACTCAATGACCACTGAGATTGGCAAAAATTTCCTCCTTTATGAGACTGCGCACGATATCTGGGTCGTAGCTCGTGAGTTCTACTCTACTCGCGACAACACTTCTGCCATCTTCGAAATCGAAGCAAGCCTTCACAACCTGCGTCAAAAAGAAAAAACAGTAACTCGAAAATAGCAGCAACTTGATGTTTTTGAGGAACATGCTTGGAGCTGCCCAGAGGATGCCAGGAGATTCCGAAACATCGTAGAACAGAGACGAATCTTCAAGTTTCTTTTCGGACTGAACAAAAACCTCGACGAGGTAAGAGGACACATTCTTTGAACCAAACCTCTCCCAAACATCAGAGAGGTGTTCTCGGAGGTGCGACGCGAAGAAAGCAAGAAGAAAGTGATGATGGGTGACTCGCAACTCAACCCTAACCCTACTAAAAGCATATCTCTCTCACCCGAAACTGGTGTTGTTCTCACAAGTCGGGTGACTGAGCAAAAAGGACGGCCATGATGTGAATACTATAAAAAGTCGGGACACGTTCGTGGAAGATGCTGGAAACTTCACGGAAAACCAGCTGAGAAGAAGAAAACACGAAAGCAGGAAATTGAGGAAATTCATCGGGGCAATTTTATCTCAACAAAGGAGGGATCCACTGCAGCCGTTTCTACCAGAAGCTCCTTATTTAGTCCTAAACAAATCAACCTCCTCCAAAAATTGTTTTCACCAATATGGTTCTCAGTAATGCTTTTACAGCTCACAAAGAATTTTTTTTTTATTTCTCAACTTATTCCACAAAAAGGGGAATATGGATTATTGACTCAGGTGCTTCCGATCATATGACCGGGGATATCTCATTATTTAAGAAATATAATAAGTGCATAAATAAATTCTCAGTTAAAATTGCTGATGGCTCTAACTCCCAGGTCGAAGGAACATGAATAATTGCACTGACACCCAAGTTAATTTTGTACTCTGTGCTATGTGTTCCAAATTTGGAATACAATCTCCTGTCAGTAAGTAAATTATCACAGGACTTGAATTGTGTAGTTACATTTAACTCTAAACTGTGTGAATTTCAAGACTTGGACTCGAGGAAAACGATTGACAATGCTAGTATGGATTCGGCTCTTTATCTATTGCAAGTTGACAACTCTTCTCTTAATAGACAAACTCATCATACAGTATATACTAATCCTGAATCTGTAAACAACTTAAATATGGAATGTCTTATCATGTTATGGCATTATCATTTAGGACATCATAACTTCATATACTTAAAAAAACTATTTCCTACTTTGTTTCGAAATGAAAATCCAACTTCCTTTCAATATGAAGTATGTCAGCTGTCCAAACATATTCGAAATTCATTTTCCAGTTCTGTTTACTAACCCACAACATTTTTCATTAATTCATAATGATGTATGGGGTTCCTCTCGGATCACTAATATTACCGGGACAAAATGGTTTGTATCTTTTATTGATGATCACACTAGAATTACCTGAATTTTTCTCATGAAAGAAAAATCTGAAGTTGGCCAGATTTTTAAAAAATTTCACATTATGATTCAAATTCAATTTCACACCAACATCCAAGTAGTGAGGTCAGACAATGGGTATGAATACTTTGAAACCACTGTGAACCAATATTTTTCTGACCACGGCATTATCCATCAAAGTTCCTATGTCAATTCTCCACAACAAAATAGCATAGCTGGACAGAAAAATAGACACATTCTTGAAGTAGCCCGATCAATCATGTTCGTTACCCACATTCCAAAATTTCTTTGGGGAGAGGTTGTTCTCACCGCTGCATACTTGATAAACCGCATGCCCTCCCGAACTCTCTCATTTCGAATACTCTATGATATCCTCCTCAGGGCCTTTCCGCAATCTCATATTCTTCATACCCTTCCCTATAAAGTTTTTGATTGTTCCGCCTATGTTCATGTTCATACTCACTTCAGAGGTAAACTTGACCCACGGACAATTAAATGTGTTTTTGTTGGATATTCACCAAGTCAAAAAGGATACAAATGTTTTTGTCCCAAGACCCGTCGTTTCTACAACACTATGGATGTCACTTTTTTTGAAAACCAGTCATTCTATCCCACTACTGATATTCAGAGGGAAAGTCCTAATCAGGAATATCAAGTATGGATATAAGTACACCACCTCTCACTTTTTCTCCCCTCACTATTCCCGAGTCCTCATCAAATTTTTCTGAAACCAGTATCAAAAAGTCTGAATTTGAACCTATACCTACTACTATCAACAAAGAGTTACGTGTTTATACTAGAAGACACAAAACTCCAGTTAATAAAGATTCGGAACCAACTACACATTGCCATAAGTCTATTCCAGTTTCAAGCAATAAGAACACATCAGGTAATGAGTTTTCAAGCACAATTTCTGATACGGCTACCACTACTGATCATGATACCGTGTTACCTATTGCTTTGCGGAAATGAATTCGATCTTGTACTAAACACTCTACACAGGATTACATTTCATTCAGCAACTTGTTCTCAAAGTATCATGCATATATAAGCAAACTCAATGGCAGCCCTATTAAACCTAGAACCATTCATGAAACTCTTGCATTGTCAATGTGGAGAGATGCTATTCAAGAAGAGATTAGGGCTCTTGAAAAGAACAAGACTTGAGAACTGACGGAACTTCCACCGGGAAAACATAAAGTTGGGTGCAAATGGGTATTTACTGTAAAACACAATCCTGATGGAAATGTGAATTGGTACAAAGCTCGTCTACTAGCTAAAGGCTTCACTCAGTCCTACAGGATAGATTATCAGGAGACATTCGCCCCTAGTGACTAAGCACAACACTATCCGAATATTACTCTCTCTTGCCTCTAATCTTGATTGGCCTCTCTGTCAACTTGATGTAAAGAATGCATTTCTCAATGGAGATTTGGAAGAAGATGTATATATGGAAGTTCCTCCAGACCTTGAGACCACATATAAAACTCACAAGGTATGCAAACTCAAAAAGGCACTCTATGGTCTAAAACAATCTCCGAGAGCTTGGTTTGACAGATTTACCAAAGCAGTTAAATATATGGGTTATGAGCAACGTCAGTCTGATCATACTTTGTTTGTCAAGAACGGTGCCTCTGGTAAAAAAACTATCCTAATTGTCTATATTGATGATATTATTTTAACAGATGATAACATAGAGAAAATTCAAAAACTCAAAAGTTTTCTTGCCACAAGATTTGAGATAAAAGATCTTGGAGCACTCAGGTATTTTCTGAAAATGGAATTTGCTCGTTCTAAAAAGGGGATCTGTGTCACAAAGGAAATATGTTTTTGACCTGCTAAAAGAAACAGGGATGCTCAGGGGTAAACCAGCAGAAACTCCCATGGAAACGACTACAAAAGTTGGATTTAAAAAGAGTAAGCCAGTTGATAAAGAAAGATATCAGAGACTTGTGGACAAACTTATATATCTTGCTTCTACTAGACCTGACATCAGTTTTGCTGTAAGTACTACAAGTCAATTCATGAACCAACCTACTAATATTCATATGAATATGACATATCGGATCTTAAAACACCTTAAAAAACTCCAGGACAATGACTATTTTTCTAAAAAACAATGAACAGAAATATTGAAATCTACACAGATACTGATTGGGCGGGTTCTATAACTGACAGAAGATCTAAGTCTGAATACTGTACTTACGTTTGGAAAAACTTAGTCACTTGGCGGAGCAAGAAACAATCTGTTGTGTCACAAAGTAGCGCAAAAGCTGAATTTCAGTCACTTGCTCATGGAATATGTGAGGGAATTTGATTAAAAATAATTCTAATGGAAACGAAATTCTTGGTTACTACTCCAATGAAAGTATGGTGCGACAATAAAGCAACAATCAGCATAGCTAAAAATCCGGTATATCATGATTGAACTAAACACTCGGAAATAGATAGGCACTTCATCAGGGAGAAGATTGAAGATCAGACCATTACAATACTCCACGTTCCTACTAATCAACAAACTGCAGATATTTTAATAAAGGCACTTTCCAAAGGATTCTTCAACGAATTAATATCCAATCTAGACTTACTAAACATTTATGTAACCTAGATTGAGGAGTGTAGAATTATTTTTCTTTATTTTTTTCTTTTTCTGTCTTTTACAACCGGGCAATATAACAAAATGGTTACTGCCAGGTTGTGCTGTTTTTCCCTTCCACTAGGGAAGTTTGTTAGTTTTTGTCTTTTTCTTCCTTCCTTTGCCTATAAAATGTTGCTGATTATTGATGAATAAAAGAAGAAAAAAGAGAAGTTATTTCTTATCCTCAAGTTCTTCAGTCTCTTTCCCCCTGTTAATAGACTAGCCTCCTCTTGCTCCATCTGTGCTTAGATTTGTAATATCTTGTACAAATTCGCATGAAAAAGCACAAGATTTCGATATAAGGACCCAGAGAATAAACCAAAAGGTACAAAGTTAGTCTCCTTGAGGTTCTAAGTGCGAATGCTGCAAAACATTATTAGCTAAAACAAAAAAGATTGATTGAACCTGCGGCTTTCAAAAGAAAAAGGGTAAATTGAGTTCTTACATTTTGAGCCTGACTAGAATTCGGACTACAGGCTTTAAAACTGCAAACATAGTCCTGAATTGACAAATCTTGTATTTCAACTCACCCACCATAAACAAAAATGAAGTTAATTTTAACAAAATACCCACATAATTATTAATACCTTTCTTGCTAAAAAATCACTAAAATCACCTATAAACCATCACACGTGAACTTGTCACTACAGACCACATCCTTGGAGTTTGAGCATCATTACAATTCTGTCTTCAAACTTTCTAAAATTTCAACTCAATACTTAGTTGATTAATCTTTACTTTAACTCACCAAGTTCCGTTTTGATGAACGTTTACACTACATGTCCCTGTTTGTCAAATGCACAAGCAAAACTTTACCCTGCCCAATCCCTTCACAGACTCCTGTACTTGTTTAGATATACATAATGTCAGCATAGCTCTAAAGCACAGCAAAACCAAATGTTCTTGACAATAAATTTTGTAGATCTTTTAATTGTTGGGACTTGTATCAGTGCTAGCTTACTTCTAGCTACTGTTTGTTGTTAATAGAATAAGGGCCTCTTGGTCTTTTTAAGTTCCATTTTGTCAAGTCCTACTATTCCTATCAATAATTAAGATTTATAGATTTGGGAGTATTGCTTATTACAATAGAAAATTGGGAAATTTCCCACAACCCCCTCTGTCTCAAGATCGCCTTAAGCTCTCTTGCTTTCTCTGTTCTTTTTCTTATCAGACTCCCTTTTTCTATATCCACTGTCTCAAATTCGCTGTTCCTAGAACTTTTTTAGAGGAAAATAACAGTGTAACATAAATAAACAAGTTAGCAAGGGGTTTTGAATAAAGCACTTCAAGGAGAATAGATATGGAGATACTGGAATGAAGATAATAGTTTGTGGAAAAAAGTCATTGAATATAAATGGGCTGCGAATAAGAAGCAAAACGATTCCATCTTGGAACGCAGCACATATGGCATGAATCTTTGGAAGGGGATTATGCAAGTCAGCAAAACAGTCTTTGAGTGCTCTAAATGGAATGTGGGAAAAGGTAACATTGATGATTTTGGTTCCATCGTAAATATGCTTATTCACTTGTAAATTTTTTGTACATGGATAGCACCCCCTTGGTGCCGACACATCAATATACTTATCATACTTTTATCTCAAAAAAAAAAAAAAAGTTAGCAAGGAGAATCACCCAAGTAAAAGAGTTGTTCAAAGTTAGTCAAAACATCAGCAATGTGTCCAAGATCCTCACTACAAGTTAGAAACATTGTTGAGCAGGCTGCTGTTAGAGACGTACAGGAAGCTTGCGTCTATGATGGTAACTATCAATTCTTTTAATCGGGCATCTTATTTTCATTTATTTATGCTTTAAATTTATTTTGGATTCCTGTCATGTACTTTGATGTTTGGATGGAGATTAATTAAGGCATTTCATTTTTTTTTAAATGAAAGTGCAGATTAATATTGATGTACTACAAGTTAGTCATAAGTAATGCTTCATATTTTTCAAGACTGCGTTATCCTTCCATGCTAATCAAATAAAATTTCTTCAGTAATTTTTCGTTGCTTGTGTGCTTTAGTTGCCTAGAATAACTACAAGGTAAGTCAAGATATAAGGCAGAGCGCACACTGTCACATGTAAATCTTAGAATTGTTCCAACCAAAATTCCTGGCATCAATAAACTCATAAAAGACACAGCAAATATGTATTCTCCACCAGTAGAAACAACAAGTTATAAAAACTAGACAGAAATGAGCATCAATCTCAAGAATATTAAACCATTCAGTTACCAAACTCCAAGCATATCAAGAATTAAACTTACCTTTATATTTCAAAAAAAAAAAAAGAATTAAACTTACCTTTATATTTTGAAAAAGAAAGAATTAAACTTACCTTTGGCAACAAAATGCTTTCTGCTCATGCAACTATCTATAATGCTTAATTTGAACCAGAAGTTGCAGTGCAAGAGGCTTGCACGCTGGTTTCATTTAAGGCATTGCTGCCATCCACCTGTGGTATCTGCTGGTTGTTCAATTCTGAAACTGAGCTATTACCAGAACTGTTTGAACCGGAAGCATCACCAGATCTATTGTTATCTTTGGTTTCCAGATGCTCCATCATGCGTGAGACTGTTGCAATTCCAGCATTGACCTCTCTCCTAACTTCGGAGCCAATATCTGCCATGGAGGTGTTGCGAGAGAAAAATCTTTCTTTCCACCCCCGTGTACTCTTTGAAATTGACTCTTTGTACCTAAAACAAACACATAACCAATAATTCAAGCAAAGAAAGATAAGAGAGAAGGAAAAAAATGATATCAATATAGTCCATATAGTTGAACACATTATATCCTTCCATAATATGATTACCTCATTGAAACAGCATTAAATCGGGATTTTAAAGACTCTGAAAAAGATTGGAATTCCGATGGTCCTGCTTTGTCTTGATTGTTTGGAGAAGACTGATTAGGAGACCTCCTACAAAGGAATAGCATACCTATCAACTACTGAAGTTGGATTGTAAAAATGCTTACATTTATAATTTTTTTACAGGATCATTTCCAATTCAATTCCTAGTCATTCCTAGTTTTGATATTCATGTCGGTGTTGATATACGTAATTTGAAGTTCTGAACATAGATTCTTTGAGTTTGAGTTGTCCTTACCCCCACCTTGAATTCTTAGGAGTAGAGTAGCTCAAACGAAAAAGAAAGTCATCTTGTTATCATGCAAATCAAGACTAGTGCAATTATTAAAACTAAAAGTCGGATAGAAAATGAACCAAACAGGATCTTGAAGTTAAACTGGAAGAAAATGAAAAAACAAATCTCATTAAAGAATGATAAATACCTATTGTTCAAAGGATTGCCATGTTGACCAGAAACAAGAATACTTGATTCAGGTGCTGAGCCAGAAGCCTGATGGGCTTGGGCAGAAGGTAGTGGTGTATTTAATTGTGAAGACTCTTCCTCGGCAGCTCTACGAGGGGAAGATGGAGTGCCTATTATGATTGCAGGAGCTGGTTCACCTTCAGCTCTCTGAGTTGGAGATGAAGAAACAGCACCAGTAGGTGATGTATTAGCATGAGTTGAAAATACCAAGAACTGCGGGCGGCCTTGAGCTGAGGACCTATTCCTCTGGCCGTCTCTTCTAGCAATGTGGCGTGCTCGTCCCATTGCGGCAGCAGCAGCTAAGTGCTGGATAATTCGCTCTTCAAGCTCAGCATCATTCACGCCTACTGGCAACTGCATCAAGAGAACCACTTTACAATGAACTTTCACCTCAGAAATTAATGCCCATTGTGCAGTATATTGACAAGAAAAATGCTGAAAATAAGACTGGTAATAAAATGGGAGAAGTACAAACATGTTGCAACTCAAAATCCCCAAGAGTTGGATGATGAAATATAGTGGTATTCCTAGGTGGATTGAACCTGAAGCTCCTTTCCCGTTCAACAGCCTCAAGTAACTCCTGACTGAAAAAAATAATAATATCAATTGAACCTTCAATTAAACCAAAATAAAAGAAATTAATAGTAGAGGAACCACAATATCAACCTGGTAGGATCTTTCAGACTGATTGGCTGCCAACACATGGGGCACTGTGAGCTTCTCTGACACCTGCAACATTAAAGTTTTAAAAAATAAAGTGCTTACTTCTCTTTCATAAGCTGTAGCAAGTCTCTCCAAAAGGTTTTGGATAAACTTGAACTTCAAGGATCGCAATGCCTGTTTGAATTACCTCTTTTTCTTAGCCAACACAACTAAAAGCTATTTTCCGGTGAAAATGCTAGTGTGCGGAATACTTGCAAAGCTAGCTAACTGTTAAGTCAAACATAAAAAATTGACAATGGTATTTGAAGCTAAAAGGTGGATAGAAAAATCAAGTAACTAAAAACTAGTTGGGCTTAGAACCCCATGAGCTTAAGAGTTACTTGAGATTAAAAATTTAAAAATAATTGGTAGGTTCCCTTGATCTAAATATGCTTAAGGCCAAGATACTGAAAAATCATAATGAAGGATTGCCAAAATCTGGTTATAGGCCTAACTTAGAGAATTAACCATTGTATTTCTTATTATTGTCTATTTTCAAAGTGAAAACCATGAAATAGAAGGCCCATGACTATGCAATGCGAGTTGATATTTGAACATAAAACTACCAAACCTCAGATCAATGAACAAATACATTTCAAGTAGAAATCCAGAAGAAGAAATAATTAAAGAGGATGAGCTATAAAGTAGAAAATCAGAACAAACATAGCCCAACAGATAAAACTATGCTTTTTGTATATTCAACAGCAAACACCAAGAGTGTTGTACTGTCTTTATGAACTTATGGATGTTTAACCATTTTCTCCGCATAAACTAAAGAGTTACATTTCATCCAGAGTCTTGGATGCATGTTACCGGAATCCTGGATTCCAGAAGTGGCTGTTCAATGGTTGCTTTTTTACCATTAATCATGAATATATTAGTAATGAGGTCACAGTATAGCTGCTGCACCAGGCAAAAGAAGTACAAAGAAAACAGAGGTTGCCAAACCTCGAGTATTTTGGCCAAACCAATCGTTAAAAAAGGCTAAGGAACAAAAATATTACACTATTACCTAGAAATAATTAACAACTTCCATGGAATCAGATATCTCTATATGTTACAAAATTTATACATCAAAATCTAATTTGTTTATTTATTTCCTAAATTATCTGCTGAAATCTCAGCCTCAGACTTTCTGATCAAACGACTACTTCTTAAAAACAACAAAACAACTAGACTCAAAGATAAAAGGCAACATTACCATTCAAGGATGCACTGGAGATGGAACTCATGTTTGCAACTAGTTACCTGCAAACGAAACACAAAATCGGACTGAAATAAAAAAAAAAGCTCAAGGACACATGGCCAATAAAAGCATTTATATCAAATATAATAATTACTGTAGATGGGTCGCTTTCGCAGAAGTTTTCAAGGCATATGCTACAAGCATCATCACACGCATCTTGGATGCCCCCTTCCACAAAAGCTGCCGCAGATGTCAAATGGGCCTCCGGGCTCTTTGTCTCTTCCATTCCCTACAAACCCAAAACCACGAGGACTCTTCAATACTACCATAAAGAAAACATCCCGAGAACCTCATACACTTTGAACTTGTAACATGAAACCGATGCAAGCATTCTTTAATAAACGCAATCAACAGCCAATCAATCTAACCATACACACAAACCTAGCTTACAAACTACTCTAACTCTTAGTTATAGAAAACAAATTTATTTCGCAAAATTAGCCCCAAGACTAGCACTTATATTATCGGAAAGACAATCATATTCGTATAACTATGGTACGCGGAACAAAATATCCATCAAAACTACGGCAGTAACTTAAATCGCCATCGGAGATAATCCCTATACAAGACAGGAAAACTGACTCACCATCACTTAAAATAAAGCTGAAACTTAGAAATTGAACAATTAGAAGGAGTTTCATCGACCACGAGCAATAATTTCGAGGTGAATATGAAAAGAATCATCAGAATCCCATGTTTCCTAACTATCCAACTTTCAAAAAATCATCCGCTTCTCTTCGACAGCAACCAGACATGATATACATCGAAGGGGATAGAAATTAATTACCTCGCTGGAAGCCATAATCAACAACAGCGATGAAACGCAAAATTGACCGGAGAATAGTCAATAGATCGAGGAGGGGAAAGTGATTGAAACCCTAAAATTTAGAGAGCGAGGCAAAGGAAGAAGAAAGGAGGGCTAATGGTGCGTTAATGGAATTTTCATGGAGAGATGAGGGATGACTTTTTGGGGGCTTTTTCGGGAGAAGACCGACAGAAAAGAGAACCTGAGCTCGGTCCTCAACAGCCTAGAATTCAACACGTGTCCAAATTCGTTTATTCAACTTTCTGCGATATCCTGTTCGCTTTTGTTTTTTCTTTTTTCTTTTTAATAAATAAAATAAATTAATTATTTTAATTATTTATCTAAAAATATATATATTTAATTCAATAATTATATTTATTAAAATTACCTTTAAAAAAATATAATAAAATTATTTTTTATTAAATTAATACTATTTTGAACAAATAATTTATTTAAAAAACTTATGTAACAAATAATAAAAATTTTACTAAAATATGATAAAAATTAATTTTATTAAAATAGAATATTAGAATGAATATGGTACGATTCACTAAATATAAGTGAATTATAAAAATTGTGTCAAACTTTATAATTTATTATCAAATTTTTAAGATTTTTTTATAATTAATATACTGTAATTTACGTATAAAATTTGAATATCATGTTACTAAATTGAATTAAAAAGTATAATTCAATTGTAAAATTTTATTCAATAGATTTAATTATTTTTTTTAACGAACATAATTTATATTAGGGAGGTATTATATAGAGAAAATAATTTTTTTCTTCGCTAAATCACATGGTATGTTCCACAATAATA